TTGCAATTATTAAAGAATATATTTGTTTTGATCCTAAATTGCCCTTAGTTACATAAAACTTAATCTGCTCCATTATATTATCTGACAACTTTCAATATTTGGGCACGTATAAAGTTATATCAGATATCATAAGATGATAGCATTTTCCAATAATACTAGTTATGCCTACTTTTGTTATAGCTTTAGATATAGTTAAATTTATATGCTATGGACACCCAATTTTACTAGATAGATGCTCGCACTAGCAGGTGGATCAATTACTTGATTAGAAGTGGGTTCTCTAGAAAAAGTGTATTTAAATGTTCGTTGACGAACTATTCCATCTTTATTAGCTTTAACTCGTTTATGATATATACTAAATCTAGCTGACCTTGCATACTGATTAAGTTGTATTTTAGCAATGTTCTACAAAATAAATGTATCACCAACATTAATATGAACTGGCTCTTCTAACTCAGGTTCTAGATCTATACTTCCTTGAGGATCTATATCCATAATATCTTGAAATTCTAAACTCATACTATCATCAAATTCTACACCACTACTATTGTGAAATTTAACATCTATAATATCATAAAATTCTACTGTACATCAGGATCCAGAGTAATCTATGTACAGATAAAAATATAATTTGCTTATTTTTGACTATTTTTTGCAGATTTTTTTCTATTTTAAGTAAGATATATGCTTATTTTTAACTATTTTGTATAGATCTTTCTATTTTTAGAAATTTTTTAAAACTCTTACCCTACATAGATTGCTCGAGGTCCTTCTACATCCATACTATTATGAAATTCACTATCGTAAAATTCTATATCTGTACTATCATAAAATTCTATATCCCTACTATCGTGAAATTTTATATCTGCATTATCATGAAATTCTATATTCACACTTTCTTGAAATTCTGATTCTAAACTTTTTTGAGGTTCTATGACAATGCTTCTCTGAAATTCTATACCCATATTTTCTTGAGGTTCTATGACAATACTTCCCTGAAATTCTATACCTATATTTTCTTGAGGTTCTACGACAATGCTTTCCTGAATTTCTATACTCATATTTTCTTGAAGTTCTACGTAGAAATTTTGACTATCAAATTGTTTTTTAAAGTTATCAGTAAACTCTACTGTATCAATATCATTAGAAAAAAAGGAAAAATATATTTCATTATTACTATCATTAAGAAAGAAAGGTAAATCAGCTTGAAATTCTTTGTAAAAAAACCCTAAAATCAAGATGGAATAAGTAAAATCATTATGGGCTGTAAAAAAAAAATCAAATATACTACTTACTTTCCATCATATGATTTGTTAAAGAAAAAAAAATACAATTTTTAAAGGAAAGCAAAAAGAAGTGATCATCTGATGTTGAAAAAAAGACCACAACTGATATGAAAGAAAAAAAGATTGTCAGAAAAAAAAAGAACTCTAAAAAAAAGAGAATGCTAAAAAAAGAAACTGCTAAAAAAAAGAACAGAACCAACTAAAAAAAAGGTGCCATTAAAAAAAAAAGAAACACTAAAAAAATGAATCGCTAAAAAAAAAAAAATCACAAAAAAACGAATTATTTAAAAAAACAAGATCACTGAGACAAAGACCACTATAAAAAGTGATTACTAAAAAGAGACTGTCAAAAAAAAGAGACTATTGAAGAGTTCGTTGAAAAAAGAGATTACTAAAAAAATCACAAATGGTATGAATGTAAATATGTAAGTGTAGAAGCTGCAAGTATAAATATAAATATGCAAGTGTAAATGTAAGTATGTAAGTCTAAAAGCCACTTGTCATTAAATTCATGTAAACAAAGAGCAGAGTTTTAATTCTTGTAATACAAACAAAACTATACAATCGTTATATGATCACGTGGTTAAGTATAAGAAATTATTAAAGTGATGGTAAAAGCTATAGTGTATAATAAAGAGGCAGTATTTAATTTGTTAGTAGTATTGTGTTTGTATATATAAGTGCATATTGGTTCTCTCTGCTAAAACTTTTCACTAATAGATTGAATTTAAGTTGTATAAAAAGGAATTATTTATACATATATGATAAACTAAACTATGAATTTTGCTAATTCAATTTTAGGTTATACACTTGAAGGTTATTTATACATGATAAACTAAATTGAAGTCTTGTTAGAAAGCCAATTTTAGATTATATACTTGCAATTATTTATACAGGTTAAACTAAAATAGATTTTTTTTTAACAATTAGTTTAGATTACATAATTCGATTATATGCATTATAAATATTTATTTAACTAGTGATCATTACCACCAGTTATAGCTAGTAAAATTCTTCTATATATAAATAGAAATTATTTTTTTAAAAATTAAAATTTTAAAATTTTTATAATATTATAAAAATTATATAAAACTTATTGATAATACAATAAATATAAGAATTAATATATATACTCTAAAGATATATTAAAATTTTTTTACTCAATATAGTACTATATAATAATATAATATTATTGATCACAAGTATATAAACAGTAATTAATATATTTTTTTAATTAATTTTTTGTTTTGTTTTAGCCTCATATTAATATTTTTTCAGTTAATAAAAACTTTGCTTTTTATTTAGTACTACTTCTGAATTTGTATCATAATTTTTTAATATTATTAGTATTATTATTTTGCTTTTAGTACTATTAGAGTTATCATTTTTGATATTGTAAACTTGCTGTCTTGCTATTAGAATATGTATTGTTGCTTTTATAGTTATTATTATCAAAGTTAACACTTTTAAAATTATAGTTTTTTAGTATAATTATTATTGAAGTTATTGTTATTAATATATTATATCATTTTTATTAATATTTCTATTATAGTTTTAAGAATTTTTGTATATTTTGCATGTTGCTATACTGGGTCTTGTTTTTTTAAATAGTGTTGTTTATATTATTTATACTAATATTTTTTGATTTGTAAATATGATTTTTGAGTTTATATGATTTTTTTTTTAATCTTTGGCAACCTTGTCAGTAATTCTTTATTAAGATTATTATATACTGTAAATATATTAAATAATATTGAGCTTAATATTTAGGCCCATATTCTTTAGCTACTTTATAGATATCTAGAAATGGTTTGCTATACTGGTCTGAAGTATTCTTTTAAGGCCAGAAAGCTAATATCAGGTTAGCTATACAAGCTATACCAAAAAATCTGTAGCTATTTTGAATTAAATTGCTAAAACTATTAAACCAACAATTTTCTATATTTTTTAAACTCTTCTCTTTTTCTTTCTTTTTTGTTTTTTATTTATTTTATCCAAAATACTATCATTCTTTGAACCTCCTCTTTTTGATCTTGAACCAATTACAGTAATTCTGATACTAATTTCTTCTTTTCTACTAGAAGCTTGATTCTTTATTTGTTTTTGCCTAAAATATCTTTGCTAATTTTTCAATTCTGTAAGAGTTTACATCTTCTTTTCTAAATATTCTTGTGAAAGCAATTCTATATTATATTTAGAGTAAATTCAATATATGTTTTGGCTTCTTTACTTGATTGCAAAGACTTTTATGTCTTTTCACTATTTCTTTTTGAACTAATCTTTTGATTGCTCTAGATCTTGCTTTGAGGATTTTTTTTCATAACTCTTCCTAAAATATTTTTTCTAAAAATTCTTTATTATTTCTTTTTCTGAAAAAGCTGCTCAAGCTAAATTTGTTGCAAAGTTTTTAGCACTCTTTCAATTATCTCTTGCTTCTTGCAGTATACTAGATGATCTTGGTTTTCTTCTTTCTTATCTTTACAGATGATATAATTCATATTTTGATATAAGTCTGGGCATCTTCGTGATAATATTCTAAGTACTGGGAGCATCTTATTAGTATATTTAAACAGAGTTCTAAGATACTTACTTTGTTTCATTAGAGCAGTATTATTTATTAACTAATTTTTTTTTATCAGAAGCTTATCTTCTTTTCTCTCTTAATATAAAAAAATCATATAATTTTAACTTTTTTTGCCCCCTCACCCCAAAAAATCACCTGATTTTTGTTATGTTCCTTATTGTATATCTGATACTATTATTCTTTTTAATTTTTTTCTACAAGTAGAACTAATTATTGCTTTTTTGGTCTTCTTTTGGTTCAATTTTTTGAATTACTTTTGATTTTTTCTAGTTTGTATCTATTTTAAAGTCAAATAGTATCTTGGTTATCTCTCTTGCTAGATTTTTAATAAATATCTTCTTCTAAAATAGCAAAACATTAGATCTAAGTAGGGTTAAAGATAATACTATTTAAATTATCTGCCATAGCATCTTGTTTAGCTAAACTATTTGCTCTGTTATTTTATCTATTATTACTATAACTTTTAATTTTAACTACTATATATTTTCTAAAATAAGTTATCTTTTTTTAGAAAAATTATATAAAAATATTACAAGTAGCTTATTATTAGATAAAAGCAGTTTTTCATTATTTACAAAAAATTTTACTAAGTAAATTGACTTAACTTATTATGTAAAAAGCATTTAAGAGATCAAAATATATATATCTTGAAAATTTTATATAAATCAAAAAATATTTTATTAATTAACTTTTGATTTTTACTCTCAATAAATATAAATTTTAAAGAAGTTTTTAAATTTTTATTGAATGTAATATGCAAAAGTCAATTAATAAAATATTTTCTAATTTATATAAAATTTTTAAGATATATGTATTTTGATTTTTTGAATAACTTTCATTTAATAAAATCGATTTATTTAGTAAAATTTTGACTTTACTATGTAGCAACAATTATTGTTTATAGGTAGCTTCTTTCAGATAAAAGATATTTTTTACTTTTCTTGTCTAAAAAAGAAAAATAGCTTATTTTTAGCATAGCTTATTTTTGGAGATATATAGAGGGGAGTCAATAGAAAAGAAACAAATTTTTTCTAAATAAAAGTTTTCTTAACTTTAAACTTAAATATCTCAACAACTATCTAATTAAATTTGATAATTTTTTTATTTTAATTCTATATAATTTCAAGATTAAAATAAAAAATTTTTATCAAATTTGATTAGATAGTTGTTAAG